GCAGAGTGCACGAACTTAGCCACTACGCCACCCGGCTGGCCCTGCAAGCATGATTAAACCAAGCTCCACCAACAATGAGACTTTCCCTGAGCTGCTGAGCACGGCTAAAGATAAACGACTGTGCTGACAGGTCTCACTTTGGATTTGTAATGATGAATCATAAGTAGGCTCTTGGCACTGCCCAACAATCCTATGGTTTTTCCTACTCAATTCTTTCCGCTGCTCTCTGAAATAATACTTCATACCCCTCTCTCCTCAAGTGGCCATCAACACCCTGCCATCCTCGGCTAGTGATCTTAATTCTTATTTTACAGAGAAAAGAGAAGCAGCCTGAAAAGAACTTCCTCATCTTTCTACCAGTGCTTCTTATGATATCTACACCCTGCAAATTCCTTTTTTCTAGTTGTTTTTTGGTCTGTCATGTTGAATGCATTCCCCAAATGTCTGGTCATCCTTTCTTCTCCATTTCACATCCCCACTAGTCCAATGAAAGCACCCTGTTGGAGATAATCTTGCCAAATCCAATGGTGAGTACTCACCTTCTTAGGAGCATTTAACAGAGTTGTCACTCCCTTCTTGAAACATTGTCTTGGCCTCCAGGACATCACACTCTCCTGGTTCTCCTCCCACCTTGCCAGGGGATCCTTTTGCTGGCTTCTCCTCCTCTTACCAGTCTCTCCATCCTCTACCCTCTTTTCTCTGACTACGCTCACTCTCCCACTCCTGCCCCACACAACTAACTGTCTTCCCTGTGCTGCTTCATGTTTATAAATGATACCACCCATCCCATCACTGGGTCTAAATCTTAGGGTTCATCCATGCGTGCAACCCCTCAGCCAGTCCAATGGCTCTATCTTCAAACTCTCTCCCAAATCTGGTCACTCTTCATCACCTCCACCTTTACCACACTGGTCCAGGCTACCACCATCCCTCACCCGGGCTAACTGCAATAACCTCCTCACTGTCTCCCTACTTCCGTCTTGCCCTTCTACAGTCTGTTCTCCTCATAACAAAGGGTAACAGTAAAACCTGAATCAGATCACAAAGCCCCTGCTCCAAACTCTCCAGGGGCTTCCCCATGACCCCTGTGACAGCACTCAGACTCTGACCATGACCAACACGGGTTAGGGCCCTACATCACCCCTCCAGCTCTTCCCTCACTCACCAAACTCCAGCCACTCAGCCATTCTTTGCCTTGCCTACAGCAGGCCACGGTCATTTCCTCAGGGCCTTGCTCTTGCCTTCACTGGAACACCCTTCCTCCCAAACCTTCCTTCCTTCCTGAGTGCACTGCCTCAGAGAGCCCTTCCCTGACCTCCCCAACTAAAACAGCCCTCAGTACCTCTTAGACTATCTCCTTCACTTGTTTTGTTTTTCTTCATAACACTTATCGCTACCTAAAGTTGTGTATTTATTCATTTACTTGTTTATTGTCTGCTTCTCCCAACTGAATCCCCAGCACATCGAACAATGCCTGGTATGAAGTAAGTACTCAATAAATCTTTGTTGTACGAAAGAAAAAAAGGGAGAGAGAGAAGAAAGAGAGAAATAACAAGCAGGTGAGCAAAAAGCCTCAGAAAACTGATTCTGGATAAAGCCAGCTAAATCATCAGCTCTTCCCCTCCGCATATGTCATCAAGCATGTTGATCACACAGCACAGGAACTTCAAGCACGAGAACTGAGTCTGACAGGCCTGAGTGCAAGTCCCAGCTTGACTACTTTCAGCTGTGCAGTCTCCGGCAAGTTACTTAATTTCTCTGGGCCGCATACACTCATTCAGCAAACATTTACTGAGTGCCTACTTTACAACAGGGGCGCTGTGCCATGTCTGTTGTGAAGATTATATAAGACAGTGTATGATGAGTCTCTGGCACCAAGCCTAGCTAATCATAATACTCAGTCGTCTGGTATTATCTATGCCCATTCTTCAAGTTTTGCCACGAGACATTCTGTCTGTTTATAATCATCTGTGTTTGCAATTTGGATTGTCTCATTGATCAAATCATTATTTAGGACTGTTTTGGGGTTATTAAGAGGTTGGGTTTTGTTACTTAAACATTTGTAGATTTCTGGTTTATTGCATTGTGGCTGGAGAACGTGACCAGTACAATTTCAGGTTTGGGGAATTTGGTATTTCTTTCAGAGCCTAATATTTTATCAATATTTGTAAATGTTTCATTGGCAGTGAAAAAGGTGTGTTCTCCATTTATGAGATACAGAGTTCAATAAATAACATTTGAAATGCTCCAGGATGGAGACACTACGTTCACCGCTGATTCCTCGTCTCCAGCAAAGGACCTGGCACACGTCATAGACATTCTATAAATATTTGTTGAATGAGCAGCTAATTAATCAATCAACCTTATTATCATCTAGATTCTCGATACCTTTGTACCTTTGTATATTTTTTTCTTATTTCACCTGCCAAAGACTGGTGAGTTGTTACAATTTCCCACCACTCTTACATTTCTGACTGTTTCCCAATGTATTTCTGACTATTTTGGCTTTATATATTTCAATACAATATGATTCAGTGCCTGAGAGTTTATGGCTGTTATACAATCATTATAAATATACTCTCTATCAATATAAAATGACTATTTAACAAAACACTATACTATATGATCTCATTTTATTATGCATTTATTATTTTGAATTGGCAACACAATAATAAAATTCAAAAGGTACAAAAGTATCTTTTCACAAAAGCGGAAAGTAATTTCCCTTCCTCTCATCTCCCGTCACCCCGTTCCCCCGACCCTGAGGCAACCAGTTAACAGAATTTTTCTGACTAGCTCAATTTGAAAACATTACTTTTTTTCACAGAGGAGTCTAAAATATCTGCGTGAATTGTTTTGAGCCATATATGTGGCAGAGTCATTTTACGCTTTCTGTTGTTTACGCTCCCTTGATGCTTTGTCTTGTGCTATGTGGGTTAAGTCTTCTTTCTTTTTATCTTCTCTGGTGCTTTGGAAGGCATATACCCCATTTGTTATTTCTCTAATGTTTCCATTTAACATTTTCAAAAGTATTCTTAACCTGTATTTCTTGACTTGGAGTCAAGAGTAAAATACCACGCTATGAGTCTGCCCAATTAAATCAAGAATGTGAGCATATCCCTTTCCTCCCCTCCTCAGAGGATGTTGATGAAATTAGGGGTTTACAGACATAGATTGTTATTATTGTTCTAGTCTGGCCTTATGGTTGTAAGGAAGATTTACCCACCTGTTATGGGCTCAACTTTGGCTCCTGGAAATTCATAGGTTGATGTCCTAATCCCCAGTAGCTCAAAATGTGACTCTATTTGAAAATAGAGTCTTTAAATAAGTTAAAGGGTGGTCGTCACATGGGCCCTAATCCAAAATGACCGATGTCCTTATAAAAAGAGGAAATTTGGACAGAGACGCATGCAGAGGGAAGGTCATGTGAGGACACAGGGAGAATGTCATCATCTACAAGCCAAAGTAAGAGGCCTCGGATGAAACCAGCCCTGGGACATCTTGATCTCAGCCTTCTGGCCTCCAGAACTGTGAGAAATACATTTCTGTTGTTGAAGCCGCCTAGTCTGTGCTGCTTTGTTATGGCGGCCCCAGCATCACCCGAAATAACTCAAGGAAAAGGGGACCATGTGGCAAGCCCCCTCACATCTTCCCACAGGGCGTCTCTAAGGACCCTCTAGAAAGAAACCTATGGAGGGGACCCAGCATGACGTGTTCCCTGCTAGGCTGCCATCTGCTGGAAGCTCTTCCTTGCCACTAGTGGTCCCTAGGAAGGATGTGGTGACTGACACCTCTTAGGTGACATTGAGCAGGAAGTGACCCTCCCCTGCTCAGGATTCTGCCTTGCCAGCCTCCCAGTATAAGGAGTTAAGAAGGATTTTTTTTTTTTTTTTTTTTGAGGAAGATTAGCCCTGAGCTAACATCTGCTGCCAATCCTCCTCTTTTTGCTGAGGAAGACTGGCCCTGAGCTAACATCCGTGCCCATCTTCCCATACTTTATATGTGGGACGCCTACCACAGCATGCCTTGCCAAGAAGTGCCATGTCGGCACCAGGGATCTGAACCAGTGAACCCCGGGCTGCCGAGAAGCAGAATGTGCACATCTAACCACTGTGCCACCGGGCCGGCCCTGGAGTTAAGCAGTCTTTACCACTCCATTTAGATGTCTTCTCCTGAGGATAAAAGGAGAGAGACACCAGGCCTAGAACTCCTGCTCTAGCAGCTTGTTCCTTGCCCTACACCCCAGATTGTGACTCGCTTGCAGATGACCCATGGACGGCCCCTCATTCCCAATACTCCACCTCTTTCTACAATTCTTTCCTGACCCCTGCTGAGTTGGTGCCTTCTTCTCAGGAAATGCCACCATTCTTGCCTATGGAAAGAATCTATTCTCAATACTTTCTTTGGTCTTGAAAATATTGAAGCCAAATGCATTTTTTTCCTGGTATCTCAGTGTCTACTCCCCACAAACATATAGTGGAGGGCGAGGGGGGACCAGCGAGCTCGGGTCCCAAGGTCTCCAGCAGTCTCAGCTGTGAGAGGGAAGAGGAGAGAAATGCCAAGGGGCTATAGTATTTGCAGGGTTTCTACTGAAAAATCTGAATTCAAACACTCTTCACCATCTGAAGGTTATTTCTCTTCTAAAGATTCCATCTGGTCCTCATTTGGACCTTACTTCTCAGGAGCCGAAAACCCTGGTCTTACCGAGCTAAGAGAGCATTCAACCCCCATCCCTGCCCCAGGTTACATTCTGAAACATCCTCAGTGACCATTCATGGGGTCCTCTGAATAGCAGGACTCTCATTCCTGGGTCTCCCTTCATACCTTTCATTTCCATGGTTTTGATTTCTTACTTTGGGAAACAAAACCACTCTCCATTTGGTTGCCCGAGCCCAAAAATTACAAACCATCTTTGATTTCCTTCTTTCTTTCCCTTACCTCCACATTCAATCCATCAGTAATCCAATGCATCCCCGATCCACACCTACATCATTTCTCACCTGGTCTACTGCGAGGGCCTCCTAACCGCTGGTCTCCACGCTTCCGCGCTTCCGCTCTTCCCCTCGACAATCCGTTCTCCAGACACCACCAAAACAGTCTTTTGAAGAATAAATAAAATCATGTCACTCCATTGCTTAAAATCCTCCAAAGGCTTCTAAACTCTTCACAAGGTCCTACACGATCTAGCCCCTGCCTACCTCTCTGCCCTCATCCTGGACCCCTCCCCCTCATTCTAATCACACTGGCCTTCTTTGGTCTCTTAATGCAATGCTTCTCCCCCAGCCTTTGCCTGTCCCTCAGCCCAGAATGTTCTCTGCCTCCAGCTCATCATGTGACTATCTCCCCCTGTCCTTCAGGCTCCAAGAGGCTTCCCCCTCTGAGTGGAGGCCACAGAGCATCGTGGTCAAGAGCACAGACCCTGGAGCCAAACCGCCTAGATTTGAATCCAGTTGCTTCATCTGCAAAATGGGGAGGATGATAATTGTTTCAATTCCTTGTGGGTTTGTTTTGAGAATTATGGGAGTTAATATATGTTAAATACTTAGAGCCTGGCATACAGGTTAGCCATTATTATTGTTAGTTATTATTATTATTATTATATCCTGCAGCCCACTGCTAACATTGTAAGGCCCAGGACAGTAGCAGAAATGAAGGCCCACATACTGGAAGTCTAAATATTCTAATGTATAAATCAATCTATGCCCAAGGCCTGGCCCACATTCACCCTTGGACTGCTCACCTCCTCACAATCCAGAAGCTAAAGGAGCCAAATTCTTCCCTGGACCAGGGCTGCCTCCTGCAAGCCTGAGGGTTAGCCCAGAACTGCTGGGGCAGGGTGAGCAGAAGCTGCTCTGGGCCCAGACTCCCATGTCACAGCACACACACCTGCACACTCAGCTTCCCATCCACTCCAGCTGGCACATTTCTCTCTCATAATTCCCATTTTCTCAGTCGGTTACTGAACTTTCAAAAACTTTCTCACAGGGGCTGGCCCAGTGGCACAGTGGTTAAGTTCACACGTTCTGCTTCTCGGTGGCCCGGGGTTCACCGGTTCGGATCCTGGGTGCTGACATGGCACCGCTTGGCAAAAGCCATGCTGAGGTAGGCGTCCCACATATAAAGCAGAGAAAGATGGGCATGGATGTTAGCTCAGGGCCAGTCTTCCTCAGCAAAAAGAAGAGGATTGGCAGTAGTCAGCTCAGGGCTAATCTTCCTCAAAATAAGGCCAAAAGGGGATTTGTGTTTCAGTATTTGTGATATGCAGGGCCCCCTACAGCCTTGCTACCTATAGTGGGTCCTTGGAACAGGAGCATCAGCATCACCTGGGAGCCAGGTAGAAACGCAGGCTCTCTGGTCCTGCCCCAGCTCCACTGAATCCGAACCTGCATTTTAACAAGATCCCCAGGAGATCTGCATAAAGTTAAAGTTTGAGAAGCACTGAACTAAGCAGAGAGCCAGGGAGGCGCCCCTCCTGCCCAGGTCTAAGTGTGGGTCTGGTTCCCTAACCGCCAAATCTAGAGCAGCTACCACCCCAGACACTCTCTATCACATCGCCCTGTTTCCTTCCTTCATATAATTTAGCATAGTCTCTAATTTCTAGTTTACCGCCTGTCTCCCTAAACTATAATATAAACTACACGGAGGGACCTTGTCTGTCAGGCTTAGTCCTGTATCCCCTGGGTCCAGAAGTGAGCCAGTACAGAGACAGTGCTCAATACTGAATTTCACTGAATCTAAGACACCTTCAATTGTAACACACACTATTATTTTATGCACCACTAAGAAAAAATGCTGCCAGTTAAATTATAACACAATGCTTTCTTAACACTTAAATTTTTCTTTTTTTTTGAGGAAGATTAGCCCTGAGCTAACTACTGCCAATCCTCCTCTTTTTTGCTGAGGAAGACTGGCCCTGAACTAACATCTATGCCCATCTTCCTCTACTTTATACGTGGGATGCCTACCACAGCATGGCTCTCGCCAAGTGGTGCCATTCCGGCACCCGGGATCCGAACTGGCGAACCCTGGGCTGCCGAGAAGCAGAACGTGCACACTTAACCGCTGTGCCACTGGGCCAGCCCCTACACTTAAATTTTTTTTAATTGAGATTCATAATAGTTTACATCATTGTGAAATTTCAGTTGTACATTATTTCTTATCTATCACCACACAAGTGCTCCCCTTTACCCTCTGTGGCCACCCTCCACCCCCATTCCCCTGGTAACCACTAAACTGTTTTCTTTGTCCATGTGTTTGTTTATATTCTGCACATAGTGAAATCATATGGTGTTTGTCTTTCTCAGTCTGGCTTATTTCGCTAAGCATAATACCCTCCAGGTCCATCCATGTTGTTGCAAATAGGATTATATCGTCTTTTTTATGGCTGAGTAGTATTCCATTGTATATATATATACCACATCTTCTTTATCCAATTATCAATCGATGGGCACTTGGATTGTTTCCATGTCTTGGCTATTGTGAATAGAGCTGCAAGGAACATAGGGGTGCATATGTTACTTTGGATTGTTGATTTCAACTTTGGGTAGATGCCTAGTAGTGGGATGGCTGGGTCATGTGGTATTTCTATTTTTAGTGTTTTGAGGAATCTCCATACTATTTTCTATAGTGGCTGCACCAGTTTGCATTCCCACCAGCAGTGTATGAGCGTTCCCTTTTCTCCCCACCCTCTCCAACATTTGTTGTTTTTGGTCTTGGTAATTACAGCCATTCTGACTGGTGTAAGGTGATGTCTCACTGTAGTTTTCATTTGCATTTCCCTAATGATTAGTGATGTTGAACATCTTTTCATGTGCCTGTTGGCCATCTGTATATCTTCCTTTGAAAAATGTCTGTTCATATCCTCTGCCCACTTTTTGATGGGGTTGTTTGGGTATTTTGTTGAGTTGTGTGAGTTCTTTATATACGTTGGATATCAACCCCTTGTCTGATAAACGATTTGCACATATTTTCTCCCAGTTGGTGAGTTGTCTTTCCATTTTGTTGATGGTTTCCTTTGCTTTGTAGCAGCTTTTTTTAACATAAAATTTTTATTTTTTGCTAATTTAAAAGCTCTTTTAGGTCCTTTTTAAGAAAATCATTCTGGTGCATACATGAAAAGAAAACAAGAAGTAAAATAAATTGGTTAAAATATTCCAGAGTCTGGCCAGTGGTGTAGTGGTTAAGCTCGTGCGCTCCACTTTGGTGGTCCAGGGTTCACAGGTTTGAATCCCAGGCGAGGACCTACACACCACTCATCAAGCCATGCTGTGGTGGCGACCCACAAACAAAATAAAGGAAGATTGGCACAGATGGTAGCTCAGCGACAATCTTCCTCAAGGAAAAAGAGGAAGATTGGCAACAGATGTTAGCTCAGGGACAATCTTCCTCACCAAAAAAATTAAAAATTAAAAAAGAAAATATTCCTGGCCCAGCCTGGTGGCTCAGGGGTTAAGTACACACATTCCACTTTGGTGGCCTGTTCAGATCCCAGGCGCAGACATGGCACAGCTTGGCACATCACGCTGTAGTAGGCATCCCACATATAAAAAAGTAGAGGAAGATGGGCATGGATGTTAGCTCAGGGTCAGTCTTCCTCAACAAAAAGAGGAGGATCGGTGGCAGATGTTAGCTCAGGGCTAATCTTCCTCAAAAAATAAATAAATAAATAAAATAAAAAATAAAATAAAATATTCCAAAATTTCTTCAGAGTCTGATTCTCCTGAATCACTTTCTGACTGAGTTATCAATCTCTGTGTTTTCCCATGCAATACTGTCCTCTATGCCATCAAGGGCACTGGTGATGCACCATTTCTCAAGAGTCCTCCCCTATTGTCTCCGAGATTTTCTCCCAAACTGCTGGCACTTTCTTATTTTACCAGATGGTATCAACAGAATTGACACCTTCACTCACATCAAATTTTTGCCCCACTACTTTGTTTCCATGACTATCTAAATACAGCATTAGCTTTTTGTCTCAATTTTATTTTACTTATTTTTTTTTTGAGGAAGATTAGCCCTGAGCTAACTACTGCCAATCCTCCTCTTTTTGCTGAAGAAGACTGGCCCTGAGCTAACATCCATGCCCATCTTCCTCTACTTTATATACGTGGGACGCCTACCACAGCATGGCTTGATGAGTGCAAGTGCCATGTCCGCACCCGGGATCCGAACCGGAGAACCCCGGGCCGCCGAGAATCAAAATGTGAATTTAACCACTGTGCCACTGGGCTTGCCCCATTTCAACTTTAAAACACAATGTAATCCTTTTGGAGACTTCTTTTTATTGAGATGTAATTGACATATAACATTGTGTAGGTTTAGGTGTATAGCATAATGATTTGATACATGTATATATTGCAAAATGATTACCAAAATTAGTCTAGTTAACGTCCACCACCTCAGGTATTTACAATTTTTTTTTTCCTTGTCATGAGAACTTTTAAGATGTACTCTCTTTACTTGGATACTTTTTTAAAAAAATAGACTTTATTTTGTTCAATCAGTTTTAGGGTCACAGCAAAATTGAGCAGAAAGCACAGAGGGTTCCATATGCTCCCTGCCCTCCACACACCCACAGCCACCCCTACTATCAACAACCCCCACCAGAGTGGTATGTTTGTTATAATCAATGAACCTACACTGACACATCAGTATTACCCAAAGTCCATAGTTTTACATCAGGGTTCCTGCTTGGTGGTGTACTTTCTATGGCTTTCGACAAATGTATAATGACACGGATGCACCATTATAGTATCAAACAGAATAATTTCACTGTCCTAAAACCCTCTGGGCTCTGCCTATTCATCCCTCCCCATCCCCAAACCACTGGCAAACACTGACCTTTTTACTGTCTCCAGAGTTGTGCCTTTTCCAGAATGTCATATAGTTAGAATCAATAGTGTATAGCCTTTTCAGATTGGCTTCTTTCACTTAGTAACATGCATTTAAGTTTCCTCTATGTCTTTTCATGACTTGAGAGCTCCTTTCTTTTTAGTGCTGAACAATATCGCCTGAATGTACCACAGTTTATTTATCTACTCACTTACTGAAGGACACCTTGGTTGCTTCCAAGCTTTGGCAATCAAGAATAAAGCTGCCGTAAACATCCGTGTGCACGTTTTTGTGTGGACGCGTTTTCAACTCCATTGGGTAAATATCATGCTGGGTCGTATGGAAAGAGTATGTTTAGTTTTATAAGAAAATGCCAAATTTTCCTCAAAAGTGGTTGCACCTTTTTGCATTCCCAACAGGAAAGAATGAGAATTCCCGTCGCTCCACATCTTCATCAGCATTTGACGTTGTCACTGTTTAGGATTTTGGCCATTCTAATAGGTGCGTCGTGATATCTCCTCTTTGTAAGGAAATTTGCATTTCCCTGATGACATGTGATGTTGAGCATCTTTTCATATGCTCATTTGCCATCCCATCTGTGCATCTCCTTTGGTGAGGTGTCTATTCAGGTCTTTTGTCCAATTTTTTAATCAGGTTGTTCTTTTGTCTTATTGTTGAGTTTAAGAGTTTTTGTATGTTTTGGATAACGGTCCTTTAATCAGATATGTCCTTTGCAACTATTTTCTCCCAGGCTGGTTTCTCTTCTCATTCTTTTGATGGTGTCTTTAACAGGGCAGAAGTTTTTAATTTTAATGAAGTCTAGCTTATCAATTATTTCTTTCATGGATTGTGCCTGAAAGTTAGTTCTATCTTTGGACGTTTTGATTACCTAAACCAATAAATTCCCTTTTCATTTCAGTTAAGTTGGGTTTTCTGTTACCTGATATATTTCCTTAAAATGGACTCTGGACATGGCAGGCAAGAAATAATTGACATCTTTACTACTGTTAATATAATTTTTAGAATTTATATAGTTTCTCCTTAAGGGATTTTTTTTGTTGAAATTCCTGCTGAGTTTTGTAACCAGATTTATAGAAATTATTTAGAGTTTTGCCGAGACTTCCCCAATTTGGAGTTTTTATTTTACTACATGTCTTGGTGAGTTAAAACACTTTTTTTAAAACAAAAGGAGAAGAAGAAGGAGACACAGTGGTATTTCCAAACCCAAGCATTCTCAGAAATGCAATTCTGTTGCCCTTCACATACAAAAAGCAACTTGGATATATACACAATAATTGAGTCATAGCTTTCTTTTCCTGTCCTAACTATAGACATTGCTCCTTTGTCTTCTAGAATGTCATATTGCAGAGAAGTCTCAGGCCAGACCAACTTCTGTTCCTTTCTACGTAGCCTTTTAATTCACATATTTTCTTGGGGGGAATCTAGGTTCAGTTCACTTTTAATAATTTACCTGAGGTACAGTATGCCTTTCACTCTGCTAATACGCCCAGGGATGCTTTCACGTCCACCAGCCCCGTTCTTGTCTTTGGGAGCAGCCAACAACTCTGACATCTCTGTTCATCGTTCATCTCAACATTACCTGACATCTCTGTTCTCTCTATCATCTCCCCTTCCAGTGTTTTAATTGCAGGTCCTTTTTGCTAAACTTCTGGTCCTTTGTCTGTGAATTCAAGAGTTTTCTCAGGTTTGTCCTCTGCAACCCTCATTCGCTTTGTGGCTTCCATTCTGTTCTTTAGCACTGCTGATGCAGACTTCAGTTCTCTTTGTGCATTTGGAGTTTCCGTGCAATTCTCCGTTTTCTCCCCCAGATACATGCTGGCACCTTGTCATCTCAGCCTTTTCTTTCTTCAAGTACTCTGCTCCTACTTCCAGGAGAATTCTAGTGAAAACCTTCCTGAAAATTCCTTCCAAATCCTCCAGTAAACATGTCTCGAGAGTTCTGTTTCTTTCAGTCTTCAGGATGATGTGCCCCTTCCCTTGTTTTGAGAAAAATTTTCAGAATCCCCATGTTTTTAACATTACTAACGCTATTTCATGCATACAGAATTGTATAAAATGTAATATAATGAATACCTCTGGACGACCCCCCACACACGACTTCTTTGTCCTCTTTATCCTGAAAAGGAGTACCATCTCTTAGACTCAGTATTGACGGAGTTCTGCACAGATATGTGGCTTGCTCTCGGCCCCGCTCTCTGTCCCTCGGGACAATGGCTGGATCCCTCGCCAGGCCTGCAGTGGGAAGGCCCACTATTCCGCATGAAAGCTGCTCTAACAGTTCAACATTACTGCTGGTGACGCAGCAGAACCTCTTGTCAGCCGCTTCATCTAGGACCCAAATTTTCCATCTCTACTTCCCAGTCCTTGTGCCTCTTCCCCCTGAACTGCTTCTCCACACAATTCTACAGCTTCTGCTTATTTGTGGTTTCAGTTACCTCGTGACTTTTGCTCACTCCCTGCTTTCATATTTCTCTCAGTTTGGGGCCACTCTTCCCTCTGATGACTCTCTCAAGTTGTCTTGAAGTCAAGTTTCCCAAGAATTCATCACTGGTCAGTCATCACGCAGAGAGGGTACCTCTGCTGGGCAGAGTGCTCAAGCTACCTCATAGGTCTCTGGCTACATGTCTGCCCTTGGGTCAGCAACTCATTCCTGGATCAGTCAGCTGTGGCCCAGATAATGGGGTCTGTGTCAGTCAGCTATTGGTGTAGAACAAAAAAGCCCACAAAGTCTGAGTGACATACAAATATAAGCATTTATTTCACTCATACATGTCTGGGTTATTGGGGTCAGCTGATCTGGGCCTTTTCCTTGTATGTTATGCCTTCCTTTTACCAGTGGGATAACTTGGACATGTTCTTCCCACGGCAGTGATGGGGCACAAGATTTCACGCAGCAACAGAGAATGCCTCTTAAGGCCCAGGCTCAAACTGAGATATTGTTGATCCGGCCCACATTCCACTGTGCCCATATTTTGGGAAGTACAATCTACCTCTAGTGGGAGTGACTACAAAATGAGATAGCAAAGAGCAAAGAGGACTGAACAATCAGAACAAACAGTTTTCAATTTTTACTACAGAATCACATGGTCACATAGCCATAAGCTATAAAGCTCAGTGTGCTAACCCGTCTGTACAGAACCCCTCAAAGGAGCCTGCAGGGATGACAGGCAGTCTGACGCTTCTCAGAAAGAGGCAGGGTGACAAGTTAAAGGATGCCTTTGCAACACTCACAAGCAACCACTTCCAGGATTTAAAATATGCCTTCTAAAACACAGGAGAATGCAAAAATTCTCATGCAAAGAGGCAGAAAATTTAATGAGAGAGACATGAAAAACAACATGGAAATCTTTAAAGCATTAAACAAGACGACAGAAGCAAAACCAAGCATCAGTTATCACAATAATTGTCTATGAGTCAGAGGCAGACAGTTAGGGGAGGTTCAAAGTATTTTCTTTTTCAGATATCCTCTGATTCAAGAGGTAAATTCCTTCGTAGATTTTTCTCAATCCAGCTCCTCTGTCTTATAAATAGTAGGAATCCCTCCCGGATTCTGGCATTCATCTTGAGTGGTAAGTTTTCTCCATTTTCCATGTCTCTGTAGTGGTTTGAGTGGGCTGTTGGGACAAGCTACAACCAAGGCCACTGGCTGGATACCACTCTGTGTGACATTCTCATCGCATGCCTCTGAAGTCCTGCAGCACTTCCTGCCCCCTCATCTCTTCCACGGCACTACCACATCCTACTGGGGCCTTTGCTCTCCTTTTTGTTTTGGAGGCCCAGATCTAGCTCTCATGCATACAACTGTGAACGCCCACAGTCTCCAGCACAAGGTTCTGTCCATATCCAGGGCTTAATGAATTAACTCCGTATCAGAAAAGACTCTCTACAATGCAGTTGACAGAAACACAACTCAAACTGGTTTACAAAATCAAAACTTTCCAAGGAATGACCAGGCTTCAGGCATGGCTGGATCAGTAAGTTCAAAAGATGTCATCAAGACTTAGTCTCTCTCCATCTCTTGATTGTTCTTTCCTCTGGATTGACTTCACTCTCCAACAGGAAGGCCCTCCCTCATGACGACAATATGCCACCAGCAACTTCAGCACCCCAACAAAAACAGAACGTCTTTGACCTCAGATCATCAACAAAAAAAACCAGAAATTGATTCTCACGAGACTGGTTTAGACCACGTGGCCCTTGCTGAATCAGACACTGAGGTCAGAGGATGGAATAGTCTAATCGGTCAGGCCTCAGTCCAGAGCCCACCCTGAAAGACAGGCGGTGTCCTCAGCCAGAGATGAGTTTGTTAAACAAATAGTGACAAGAAGAAATGAAAAGACAACAAATGTCCACTGCCATCTTCTTAGTTTCTTTCCAGGAGGAACCCTCCCTTTGGGACTAATTAGAACGATGAGGCCACCGTACCTCTGCTTAGTGCATCCTGGTTTACAAAATACTTCTCACATTGTCCCATTTAATCCTCACAACCAGCCCCCAAGCCAAGCGGCATCACCATACCCTTCAAACAGCTGAGGCAACTGAGACTTAGAGATATTAAGGGCTTGGCTGAGTCAAAGAGCAGGTAAGGAGCCAACAGAGGGGCTGTAGAGAGGTGAGTGCAGAACAAGAGGATGAAACACTGACCCCCCCGGCAACTTCCTCTGTGTGTCAAGCTCCCCCTCCTCCTCCACCACATCCTCCACTGCACTTCACCTCCTCTTTGCCCAGTCTCGGGCCTCTCTCCCTTATCATCGATCCTGCTTGCTTCTGCCACACCTCTTCCCTGACCTTTGCTCCTTGCTCCAGGCTTGTTTTCCTCTGGACCTGGAAACCACGGGCTCACTTTCACTGACTGCCTGTCCTTCTCAACTGCCTCACCATGTGTACGGGAAAGTGCGCCCGCTTCTTGGGGCTCACCCTCATCCCCCTTTCCCTGGTCTGCATCGTGGCCAACGCCCTCCTGCTGGTGCCTAACGGGGAGACTGCCTGGACCAACCACCTCAGCTTGCAAGTCTGGCTCATGGCTGGCTTCATCGGTGGGGGCCTGATGGTGAGAAGACTGGCAAGGGAGCACAAACCAGGGGTCTGGGCGCCACTCTATGGGGTTCTGTATAGGACGGAGGGAGAGAGAGAGGGAAGAGGACAGCTGCCTGGGAAGAGATGGCAGTGGCATGGTGGGGACCTGGAGCCCTCCCAATCTGCCTCCAAACACTAAGCACTCTGAAGAGGACCTGGAGGAGCTCCAGCATCCTGAGCTGAATGTCTGAGGGGAAGAAGAAGGAAGGGAGCCCCACTGCTCTAAACAGCTCCCCTTCTGGGGAGGGAGTATGTCCTCCCTGCCACTCACTGCCCCCACTGCTGAGCAGATGCCGGGAACACTTCAGTAGAAGGGTAGATGCAGAAGGAGCAGCTGGTTATGTGGGAGGTTATCAGGGCAAGATAACAATGGGCATGGGGGTTGGGGTGCAGTGGCAATGTCTGGAGCCAGGGAGCGACGTCGCGGATCAGCTCGGTGTCACCCTCCCCCACCTCCATGTCCATTCACTCTCAGCCCACATTTCTGGATGCCCACTCTGTGCTTGGCGCTAAAGATAAACTCAGAACCTAGGTCAGTATGACAGAGAAGGTGTCCCCACGCCTTTCTGGAGACTAGGATCTGTCAGGAGGAAGGGGAGACACAGATTTGCTGGACTTCCTAACCCCCAACCTCCATCTCCCTCCCCATTTAAGGGGATTTTTGGAAGGTGGAGCTGGTTTAACATCTTCAAGGGATGAAGACAAAAGATCCACTCGGCATGGTTCCCCACCTCTCCGGAAGGTTGGAGAGGTCTCACCTGCCCTCTCTTTTGCTGGTCACACCTCTTCTGCTTTACCCAACAATCCCCTCTTACCCTCTGGGATCTTTTCTACTGCTCCCCCTCCTGCAAGGAGTCGTGGCTGTTGGATTCTACTCCATTCCTCTGACCTCAGCTCTCTCTGAGATTCACACTCCACCCAGGCCAACACACTCACCTGGTGTCGCATCATGCCACTCATCCTGCAGCCTAAACCACCCACCACCCCCAGTCTAACCAGCATGTTTCCAGGAGATCCCTAAGAATGCCCTCCCAACATGCCCCTTCCCAGTGCCTTCCTCCCACCTCCATGCCCAGAGCCCCTCTTGAGAAAGAAGACTTTCTCAAATGTATTCACATAGCCCGTGCTACACCACAGGGGCACAGGCGAGGTCCCTGCTGTCCCCAAAGCTCGTGTTCCCGCTGGGGAAATGCACAGCATCAAGAAAGCAAGAACATAAGCCCGCAACAGCAAGGACTGCCTGTTTCTTTGGCTGCTGTGTGCCAGGTGCCTAGATCGGTGCCTTGCAATTAACAGGCACTCGATTAATAGTCAGTGAATGAACAAAGTACATAAATGAGCAAGGTGATTTCAGATAGCAGTAGGTACCATCAAGAAAACAAAGCAGGGGGCCATCATAAAGAGCTCCTCGGGTAATGTGGGAGGCCACTTTTTACAGCATTTTCAAGGAAGGCCTCGATGAGGTGATGTCTGAACCGAGACCCTAAGGACAAACAGAAGGAATCAGCGCTGCAGACAGGCGGACAGGCAAGCACAAAGCCTGAGGCAGGAAAAGGCTCGCACATCTGAGGACTGGACAGGCGGCCGTGCGGCTGAGGTTTCATGAGATGAGAGCTGAGCTGGGCAGAGGCCAGAGCCTGCACAGAAAGCCACAGGGAGGAATTCGAATTGTATAACAAGGACAACAGAAAACTACTGAAGGACTTTTTAACCTTTTTCTGAATTTAAAAATTTTTTCCAACTTTTTATTTAAGTCATACAGACAAGTGCTCAGATCCTTAGTATACAACTCAATGAATTTTTACAAAGTGAACACACCCAGGGACCCAGCACCCAGATCAAGACACAGGTCATTACCAGAATCCCAGACATGCCGCCCACACCAGGCACTACCCCCCACCAAGAAGGGTCCTCACTATCTTGACTTCTACCCCATCGACTAGTTTTGCCTGTTTCCCCCTTTACATACATGGAATCGTACAGTATGGACACTGCTGTGTCTGACTTCTTTAGCTCAACATTAGGTTTGTGAGATTCATCCATGTTATTGTGTGCAGTTGTTTTTTTATTTCTTATGCATCCCATTGTGTGAAAATACCACAGTTTATTTAAACTTTCTACTGCTGATGGACATTTGATAATTCCCAATTTGGGTTTATTACAAATAATGCCGCTATAAACATTCCTCTAAATGTCTTTAGGTAAACATATGCTTGCATTTCTCTTGGATATATACTGAAGAGTAAAACTTCTGATTCTTTTTTTTAAGGTATTCTTTTTCTTTTTTCTTTTTCTTCTTCTTTTTCTTTTTCTTTTGGTGAGGAAGATTGGCCCTGAGCTAACATCTGTTGCCAATCTTCCTCTTTTTGTTTTCCCTCCCCAAAGCCCCAGTCCATAGTTGTATATCCTAGTTGTAAGTCATTCTAGTTCTTCTATGTGGGATGCAAGTCACAGCATGGCTTGATGAGCAGCGTGTACGTCCGCGCCCAGGATCCAAACCAGCAAACCCTGGGCCACCAAAGCAGAGCACACGAACTTAACCACTCGGCCATGGGGCCAGCCCTCAAAACTGCTGATTCTTAAGGTGTACAAATATTCAGTGCTGACAGGTATTGCCAAATAGTTTTCTAAACTTCTTATACCAACTTCATCCCCATCAGCTAAGTATGAGAGTTCTAGCCGCTCCACATCCTTTTGGCTCTAAGAAGATCCCTCTGGCTGCTGTGCAGAGAACGGATAACAGGAAGTCAGCAGTGGATGCAGGAAGACCAGACTGAGGTCAGTGCAGTTGTCCAGGAGAGATGATAGTGGCTTGGAGTAGGCCAGTGGCCATGGAGATGGAGAAAAGTAAGCAGATTCAAGCTATAAACTCAATGTTTCCTCCTGCATTTACAATGGCCTTTCTTTCTCCTTAAGATGAGTAGATGGCAGAGAGCAAGACAGAGAAGCTCAGACAACAGAAGGAAACAAACACTTTGACTAAAAAAGTAAAAATCTCAAACAGGTAGATCATTCAAAATTGGTAAATCTAAAAGATAAATCCAAATTCTCGGTGTCTTTGGATCTAGGAGCTTCCCAGTAAGTGACTTAACCAGAGAAGCTAAGCAAGGGGATCAGCACTGGTCCTAGACCTGCCATGCGGCGTGGAAGAGAAGAGACGCGTCTGGTGGAAAGTCTGTTCAACTCTGCAGGTGTTTCTGTGAGGTTGCTGTGAATAATATAACAGAACTAAAACTCTCAGCCCCTCCCCTGGAGAAGAGCAAAATGCTGGCTTGTACGGTGTATGCCAGACACTACACCGAGGAAGGCAAAGATCAAGACAACTGTGGAGGGGCCAGCCCCGTGGCCGAGTGGTTGCGTTCTCACGCTCTGCTTAGGCGGCCTGGGGTTTCACCGGATCGGATCCTGGGCACAGACATGGTACCACTTGTCGGGCCATGCTGAGGCGGCGTCCCACATGCCACAACTAGAAGGACCTACAGCTAGAATATACAACTATGTACTGCGGGCTTTGGTGAGAAGAAGGAAAAATAAAATCTTTTAAAAAAAAAAGACAGCTGTGGAATTCTAGAGATGGGAGGTGAGCAAAGAACCTGGCCTGGTGCAGCAAAGATAAAGCTGGAGCCAAAGTGAAGAGCCTCGAATGGCTTCCCAGAGCTCAGTCTGGACAGGCTACTCTTTGAGGAGAACCTAAAGGATTTGAACAGGGAAAAGACCAGTTGAAAGCTAAGTTTAATCAGGTGGTAGCAATGTAGGATGGAGTGTGGGGTGGCACAGGGCAAGAGACATGGAAATCTAGTAGGAAGGTTGAGAACATCATCTTCATGGGAGATGATTATGGATTGACGACGGGGAAGGAGAAAGGACTGACGGTTTCAAGAGCCATTGAAGGAAAAATCTTAAGGACATGAGGTCCTGCTGGGTGTAGAGGATTCAAGTTTTCCAACCTGGGTGACCTGGAAGATATTTCCACTGACGGAGACAAGAAAGTCAAAGGGAAATGAATTGGGGGGAATAAATTGTAAGGTCAGTATGAGGTTGGCTGAATGTGAGCTAAAACCAAGACAATAAAATGAACATATCCTTCAGGCAGTTAGATATGAATCCGGAGGCATCAACTTAGGAGGCAACTATTGTTAGAGGGAGCAGCTGATGCCCTGAGAGGGGATGGGCTCTGTGAGGAAGGCCATAGGGAGAAAGAAAGACAAAGAGGATCAGGGCTGTACCTGGGGGATTCCTACACTTCCCATGACAGCATTCACTAACATTCTCCTCTATCCTCCACCATAATCCCAGCTCACCAGACACTCCAACACCACCGTTCCTTCCTGCTGCTGAGGGAATTTATAGTTATTGAGCATTTACTCTGAGCCAGTCTTGACATCAGCTCAACCTGTTATTTCATTAAATCCTGAGAACAGCTGTATAAGGTAGAGCTTGCAGACTCATTTTACAATGGACAAAACAGACCCAGAGAGATAAATCAATTCATGAAGTGAGCACAAGGCAACCCAAGTCTCCTGATTCTCCTTCAGTTGGGCACCTACTGTGTGCCCAGATTTAGAGGCGACACAATGATACTGGGCCCTACCCTACTGGAGGCTACAATCTGGACAGAGATAAGCAGGCACAAAAAATAAGGATACATTAAGGTAAAGCCCGACAGCGCTCCAGGAGAAACAGAGATAAGATCTTCCTGTAGTCCAAAGGGATGAGGGCATCACAGGCAGCTTCCAGGAGGAGGTAAGCACTGGTGCAAGTAAGGGCCAGAGGATCTGGGGGGACTCGCTATCACACTGACTCTCTTCCCCCAGGTACTGTGTCCAGGAATCGCAGCCGTTCGGGCAGGAGGCAAGGGCTGCTGTGGGGCAGGCTGCTGTGGAAACCGCTGCAGGGTAAGCTCCAAATTAAGACGGGATTCTGGATCTGTCTTTGAACAGGTCCTCGAAGAGCCACGCCTAAAGCCACGGCCCACTCTACAGAATTCCTAGCTACACGAGCTCATTGGCAGAGTCCCAGGCTCCCCCTCACTCTCCCTCCCACCAGCAAATCTTAGGCCTCAGTGGGCCTGAGCACAGAGGACTACAACCCCCATGAACCTCCGCGGCCTCTGGCTCTTAGGATTAGCAGAGCTCCAAGCCGCGAGGTTTGACGGGAAATGTATTTTTAAGGTGACTCCAGAGGCGGGCGGTAATGTGCAGGGGCGGAACTAGGCGCCATCTGCCCACAGGTGGGGACGGAGGGACCTACTCACCTCTTTTTCCACTCTGCGTCCAGATGCTGCGCTCGGTCTTCTGCTCGGCGTTCGGGGTGCTAGGTGCCATCTACTGCCTTTCGGTATCGGGAACTGGGCTCCGAAGTGGACCCTACTGCTTAGTGAACGGCACGTGGGACTACCACTTCGAAGAGACCTTGTAAGGCTTAGCCTGTATTCGCGCCCCTCCATTTTCTGTCTCTCTCACCTGCCTTTCTCACGTGGACCGGGAAACTTCGGTGGGACTCTCCTTCGAGAGTGCTTCCACCACGTGGGCCAAACGAGCCCTTCGCGAGTCCCCCTCGGCGCGTGCGCGGGGCGGGGAACCGGGAGGGGGGCGCTCTGCCTGCTCGCCCTCTCTCACGTGACCCTGCCCCGCCCACAGAGGCTCCTACCTGCTCAACCGCACCCAGTGGGATTTGTGCGAGAAGCCGCCTGGTGTGGTCTACTGGAATGTGACGCTCTTCTCGCTGCTGGTGGCTGCCTCGTGCCTGGAGATCGTGCTGTGTGGGGTGCAGCTGGTGAACGCGGCCATTGGTGTCTTCTGTGGCGATTGCAGGAAGGAGGTGGGACGGCGTGAGGTGGAGTTGTAGAGGGAACCTGCTTGCTTCCTGGCTGTGTCTTCACTTTCTCTTTTCCGCAGGACGCCCCTCACTGAGGCTCCACGGACTGCCCTGCTCGCTCCTGGACGCCCACCTGGCCCGCCCCAGCCCTGGAATAAACTGTTTTGAGCTCTCTTGCGCGTCTCAGATTACGCCCTCTGCATCCACCGGGGCTGGAACTCTGGTGTTTGGGGTCCCTACACCCGGCTTGTTATTTTCTTAACAAATAGTTAATTGAGCTCTTAGTGTGCCCTGGGAATACAGCGGTAAACAAGACAGGCAAGTTCTATGCTCTCAAAGAATTTAACATTCTAGGAGTGGAAGATGGGCAATTTTTAAAAGAGGCAATAAGGGCCAGCCTGGTGGTGCAGCAGTTAAGTTCGCACATTCTGCTTATGCTGCCCGGGGTGTGGCAGTTTGGATCCCCGGTAGGGACCTATGCGTCGCTTGTCAAGCCATGCTGTGGCAGGTGTCCCACATATAAGGTAGAGGAAGATGGGCACAGATGTTAGCTCAGGGCCAGTCTTCCTCAGCAAAAATAGGAGGATTGGCGCCAGATGTTAGCTCAGGGATAATCTTCTTCAGAAAATTAAAAAATAAATAAAAGAGGCAATAGATTATTTCAGTTGGTGATAAGCACTTTTTAAAAACAGGTTGGTAATGGGATAGATATTGACTGATGGAGGGACTTTTGAAAATAAGATAGGGGCCTGCCCGGTGGCTCATTGGTTAAGTGCACACGTTCTTCTTCGGCTGCCCTGGGTTCTCCGGTTCGGATCCTGGGTGCGGACATGGCACTGCTTGTCAAGCCATGCTGTGGTAGGCGTCCCACATATGAAGCAGAGGAACATGGGCATGGATGTGAGCTCAGGGCCAGTCTTCCTCAGCAAAAAGAGGAGGATTGGCAGCAGTTAGCTCAGAGCTAATCTTCCTCAAAAAAAATATAAATAAATAAAAATAAAAATAAGATAAAGTCTGAGAAAGTGAAATTGGAGCTGAAATCTGGTGGATGGGCTAACCATCTGGAAAGCTGGGGATTCCAGGCAAAGAGAACAACAAGAACAAAGATCCTAAAAGGAATCAGTATAGAGAAAAGCCACTGTTTGAGTTTTGTAGGGGAAAAACGGAAGGAGGGAGGACTATAGAAAGACATAGTAGCCTCTTAAACTCTAGAAAAGCCTTAAAGCGTTATGACATTGTCATCTCCTAATTTGGTAGAAGTTTCTTAATCTGAGGTCACTGAGTGGTTGAGAAAGGAAACAACTAGGGCTCTGAATGGGGGCAGTGTGTCTGCAGACGCCCTCAGGAAGCCAGAAACTTCCTTAGCTTGCACGCAAGCATGTGTTTGTTTTTCTGGACTATGGGTTCGTAACTTTCAGTAGTCTGTGAAAGACTCCTGAAACCAAACCCAAACTTGGGCCTGGCCCAATGCGAGGTGAGGAGGAAGACAAGGAGGGCAGTGTCCCTCCCCTAAACAAGCAAGACCAAAGCCAAGACAGAGAAGCTTTAATGGCGGGATGTGGGACTAGGCTCGGGGCCAGGGAGAGGGAGGCTACAGCCTCAACTTTGGCAGCAGAAGAAGCGCGCGTCGTTAACCGCGGTGTCATCGCGGAGGCCTCTAGGCCGCTCGACCTTGGTCTGCAAGCCGCACACGCCTTTGGGGCATGGGTCACTCCAGTCTCCGTAGTCTCCCCAGGCCAGGCCAGGCCCCTCCAGCACCGTGCCGTCGGAGCAGCGGAAGCGCACGTTGTTCGCAGCCGTGTTGTCCCCGGGGGTCATGGGTGCCTCCACGCGAAGCGAGAAAGCCACCAGGAAGCCGCCGCCGGGACACCACAGCGGCCCACTCCACGCGCCCCACCTGTGAGGGGAGAGGAGACGCGCTGGCTCTGCGGGTCCCTCTACCCGCCTCCAGCCTGCCCCAGCCCTCGGGACTTCCCGGCCAGGTGCCACACGACCTGGGTGGGTTGGGTCTAGTCACCTGACCTCCTCCCAGGTGCGGAGGGGAGGTCCTCCACCCACTCCCCAGGTCCAAACTGCCCCACAGCTGTGGAGGAACCTGCCTGCGGGGAGGGTATGTGTGTAACAGAGTAAGGGGCATACGCCCACCCTAGGGGATCCGAGGCCCCTGACCCCCACCTTCCAGACTCGGACTCCACCACATGCGTGTTGAGCTCCGCATTTCCGCGCGCGCAGTGCAGCCGGATCCCGTTTAGAGCTGTGTCGTCGCCAGGAATGCCTTGCTGGGGCTCCACCTTGGCGGCGAGAAGAGGCGGGGTAAGGAGAGTCAGAAGACCGCCAACCTCTGCTCTGGGGTCCCGCTCATCTCCGCCCCCCTCCGAGACCTAGGCCTGAGCCCACACCTTGAGCGAGAACCCGCTGGCGAAGAATCCGTCAGGACACATCTCGGGCCAGGCCCAGTGGCCCCAGGGGCCTCCGTTGGTCACCTCGATGACCGACTTGTAGCCTCTCAGCCCATCTGCTCGTGCACGTCCCCAGCAAGTCGCCGACAGCAGCAGCAGCAGCAGCTTGGCTCCCGCGACCCGCTCCATCTCGCAGCCTCTGTGAGCCCGGGCCCCTTACGCAGGTTTATACCACCTCTCCTAGAGGCTCGGATTGCGGAAACGCTACCCGGATTAAGTGAAACCCAAAACCAATCCACTCCTGGAACCCTGCAGACCAGTTGTTGCTCAGGCAAACAGGCTCCCAGAGCCAGAGGAGGGGCGGTGAGAGCCGCTAAGTTGAAGTAACCATCACCTGCTGAAGGGTTACTATAGGCCACGAATTGTAGTTGGCGTTTTGCAGGCATTGCAACAATTTTAGGAGGTGGGAATTACCCTTCCCATTCTGCAGAGGAGGGAACTGGGGTTTAGAAATGGGAAGCGACTTGCCTAAGGTCACAGACAGCAAGCCAGGAAAGGGTCTAACACTGGGAAATGGCGAGCCCAAGGCTAGGGATGGAAGTGATGGCTCGGGAATCCCACTGGACAGGGTTGGTCAGAAGCCAGCCTAGGGACCTCTAGGATGTGAGGGAGCATCAGAGTGAGAGATAGGGCAAGAATCATGAACTGTGGCAGCTAGGAACGGTCTTCTTAGCGATTGGGATCCTGACTCCTTGAGAATCTTGGATACCCCTTCTCCACTAGAAGAAAATATACATAGAGACAGGAACAATTCTAAGAAGTTTATGGACAGGAGATGCTGTTTCTTCCATTGCTTCCTGTATCCTTTCCCTGAATGTTTTTCCCCCCATGACCACCAGGTGGACTCCTAATTTGCTAAAAACAAACCAAAAAAACCTGGCTCAAATTTGTCCTGGGGAGCACCACCCCTGATTTGCCTGCCCCTCATACATATTCCTTTGCTTATTCAATATATATTTATTTAGCAATAATGTATTTTGACCCAGGTGATATTCTAAGTGCTGGAAATAGAGCAGCAACAAAGAAAAACAAGGCCCCTGTCTTCCTCAGAGCTCACATTCCAGTCGGGGAAACAGATGATAAGTTTTTCCAGTGGACCTTGAACTCTGTGAGGGCACTTTTGTCTTCCTGAGGCCTAGTACAGGGCCTGGGATGCAGAAGTAGTTAATAAAGGTTGGTTTGATGAACGATTGAGGAACCAATCTGGAGTTTCAAACATTAAACCGCAAAAATGTAAAAGGATAAAGCGTAAAGTACCTAATCGAGAAGTCATGCAACCAGGTTAAGACAAGGCCCCCTGGGGATACAATGGAGAATTTAGAAGTGAGTGTTCCCTGGAGCCCAGGTGCCCCACGCTTGAACCTAATAGGTAAGATTTATGGAGCAATTGTGGTAAGCTTTTCCATTTACAGTGTTTGCACATAACATTATCATTTAATCTTCACATGAGGCTTGCAAAGTACCTATTATTGGCCTCAATTTACAGTGAGTGAAGTCAAGCCCAGAGTTAATTTAGGGCCGACACCGTTTCTCAGTGGGAGAGCTGGTTCTGACCCCAGCCTCTCTTCCCAGTACCCAGGCTGCCTCTTCCTACAACATGGCCATACAGGGAAGGGAAATGCAGAGACGTGTCATTGCTCAAATCCCCCAAATCCTCTTCATCCAGTCCCTCACCCCCGGGATGCTGCTCTTAGGGGCAAAGGGCAGAAGGGAAGGGGGCTTAGTAGGTTAATTATTAACCCTTAGCACCTCAGAGTACTGCGGGCTTCTCTCCCCTCCTGGAGGCGAGGCGAAGGGATAAGGACTGGCTAGCGGTTGGTGAGGGGGCCGTGGTCCCAGCAGCAGCCATGAGGGTCATGCTGCCTCTGCAGGTCCCGCGGCGCTGGTTCTGCCGTGTAATTCCTCTCACTGTCTTCACGCTGCTGCTGCTTTATCTCAGCGCTCGGAGCCTCCGTGCGTGGCCCCTTCCCTCACCTGCTCTGGGAGGAACCCAGGAATCCAGGCCCTCGGGACCCAAGCCCCCTCCTGGAGCCCTCACCGCTCCACCTCGCCTCTCCCCTGGCGCCCTCTCAGGCTGCCCATCCGGAGCACAGTCCTGCATTCCCGAGGGACTGCCGCCTTTCCAGGTACGCTGGTGCAGGGCTGGGACTTGGAGCTCCAACTGGGACTCTGAACAGGGCGAAGTGGAGCTAAGCTGAGGATCTGGTCAAAGGCAGGTCCTCCTCCTCGTCTCCCCTCTTCTGTCAGAAGCTGAGAGTACAGCAGGAGGGACACGAGCTAGACCTTAGGAATAATTTCTTCAGAGCCCACCTGGGCTGCCCAGCAAGGAGGCCCAGAAGGCGAGGGGCTCTGCTCCCGCCCCCTTCCCCTCACATCTTCCTCCCCAGGTTCGGCAACAGTCAGGACCCCTGGAGGCCCCGGAGCGAGAAGAGCCTCAGTGTCTGGGCCCCCAGGGGATGCTGGGCCGCATGATGAGGCCGTTCCGCGCCAGTCTGAACCCCGAAGGGGATGTGGAATTGTCGCAGTACCTGGCAGGATGGAGGGAGCTAGTCAAGTGAGTGGTCTCCCTCCCCTACCCCAGTCCCCGCCTCTTTGTGGCTCCATCGCCCTTTCTCAAACCATCTCACTCTTCCCACCACCAAACACACAGGTTCCTAACTCCGCTCCGCTCCATCTTCGCCTTCGCCACAAGCGAGGCCTTCATCAAAGTGACA